GATCTCAACTGTTCAGAATACCTCTAAGATTTTAAATTTGAACTTAATTTCAGTCTTCTTGTAATTTCATTCATTGTTAAGATTTTCTCAGCTACATCTATTATTTGATTTTTCTACTGAGCAAGAAGAGGTGGAAAAGTAATGACTTTAATTCTGATTAAGTTAGAAATGAAATACTAGTTTTAGATAGAAAATCTAGTAAAAAAAATACAATTTTTTATAAAAAAATTGTTAAAAACTAATTGTTTCTATCTATATTAAAGAAATTTTCCTCATATAACTAGTATGAGAACACTTAGAATAAATGAACTAAGTGTCAAAAAAAAGTATGAAAAGCTCTATAATTAGAATTATAATAGAATAAATATATAAACACAGCAAGTGCTACAAAGATAAGAGAATAGTGATAAATGAAATATATATGTAGAATTGAGTAGTAGTTAATTACTGAATCTTTTAAAGAAACTTCAGAAATTCAGAGTATTTATATATATAAATAAATAATAATAAATTTTATTTTTAATTTTTTATAAAATAAAAAATTAGTAATATAGTGATTTGATTTATTATGAAATATTGATTTTATTCTTCAAAAAGTGCTGATTTTAAAGAACTGATTTTTGAGAAGTGCTAATCTGTGTTGATTTCAAGTGCTAAATCTTGAGGTAATGTTAATTCTTTAAAAGATGTTGATTCTAAAGTGCTTTGATAAGTAGTGTGAAGATAAGTACTTTAGTAAGCAATGTGATAAGCAGTGTGAGATAAGCAATATGAGAACAAGAAACTAACTAGTATAGAGAGTTTTAATATTTCAATTGTCTTTTTTTTTATAGATGCTGACCTTAGTGACTTTAGAAGATGATTGTTTTGAATATATATAGACATGAGATATTTATTGATATAAAAGTAAGATATGAGTATGAAGTGTTTATTAATATAGAAAATAACACTTATGACACTTATTCAGTAATATTAAAAAACTAATAATATGAGATAATTGTCATAAGAGCATTTATTACTATAAGAATGAAGAGAGAAGATATTTTTTATTCTCTGAACTTTTCTTCTTTTATAATCTTACAATTATAATTATTATAAATTTCTTATAGTTGCTGCAATCTCTAATTTTAAAGTCTTTTTTATTTTTTTTTATCTCTGTTAATATGATAGAATTTATCTCTACACTCTTTGAATAAAGTTTTCTGTTTTTAATACATTTGATACCATCATATGTGTGATTATAGTTGATAAATATACTGAGTCATAGCTCATAATTATTGATTATATAACTGACTTTATCTGAGAGATATTTTTTATAAAAAATACTTATTCAAGCTGAGTAATTTATTTGTGATATGTGATTATTCTTACTATAAGAAGTGCTATAATTCTTACTGTCTTGTATATAAGCTGTGTATCTGAGTGAGTATAGTGCATCTTTAGCTGCTGTATCAGAAAGATCTTTATACTATTAATATAATAACTGATTATTGCTTGTTTAGATTGCTTTCTCTTTTAAGTTAAGTCAGCTATTTACTTTTTGAGACTTTTTATTCTTTACAGAATGAGCAACATCAGTAAAAATCTTATATTATTAAATTATTAAAATATTTAAATAGATAAACTAAGTGTCAAAAGAAAGTATAAGAAGCTTTATAACTAGAATTGTAAAAGAATATCTATATAAATACTGTGAGTGCTATAAAAAGAAGAGAATAGTGATAAATAAAATGAATATATAGAATTAAATAATAGTTAATCACTGAATCTCTTGAGAAAACTTTGAGAATTCAAAGTATTTATATATATAAATAAGTAATAATAGATTTTATCTCTAATCATTTATAAAATGAGAAATTAACAATATAATAATTTAAATTTTTATAAATTGCTGATTCTATTCTTCAAAAAGTACTGATCTATGCTGATCTCAAATGTTGAATTTTGAGATAATATTAATTTTTTAGAAGATGCTGATTTTAAAGTACTTTGATAAGCAGTATAAGAGCAAGAAGCTAGTATAGACAGTTTTGACATCACAATTACTTCTCTTTTTCATAGATGTTGATTTCAGCAGCTCTAGAAGATAATTATTTTAGAATATATAGATGCAGCATAAGTGTGAGATGTTTATTGATATAAAGATAAGATATGAGTATGAAGTTTTTAATGATATAGAGAATAATACTTATAATACTTATTCAGTTATATTGAGAGACTGATTGTGTAAGATAATTATCATGAGAGTATCTATTACTATAAAAATAAAGAGAAAAAATATCTTTTACTTTCTGAACTTTTTTTTTTTTTACAATCTCACAATTATAATTATTATAAATTCTTTGTAATTGCTATTGTTTTTAATTTTAAATCTTTCTCATTTCTTTCTTATCTCTGTTACTATGACAAAATCAATCTCTATATTCTTTGAGTAAGCTTCTCTGTTTTTAGTATATTTGATATCATCATATATATGATGACAGTTGGCAGATCTACTACATCATAGCTCATAATTATTGATTATATGACTGACTTTATCTTATAGATATTTTCTGTAAATGATATTTACTTAAACTAAGTAATTTGTCTATAATATATGATTATTTTCACTATAGAAAACACTATGATTCTTGCTGTCTTATGTATAAGCTGTGTATCTAAGTGAGTATAGTACATCTTTAACTGCTGTGTCAGAGAAATTTTTGCTCATTGTAGTAACTGATAATTACTTACTCAACTTGCTTTCTCTTTTGAATTGAGTTAACTGCTTACTCTTCAGAGCTTCTTGTCCTTTACAGAGTAAGTGAGATTATTGAAGATCTCATATTATTAAATTAAGCTATTATATCTGATAGCAGTATTGACAACTTTCTCTCATACTGTTCATTCAGTGAAAGCTCATGCTATTGTCTTGATTGATATTATTTATCATGTTTAGCATTAGATTAAAACTGCAGATATGCTGATAATATTCTTCAAGAATGAGAATTGAGAGAATATGAAGAAAAAAGTTGTATATGAGATAAAGAACTTTAAGTTGACTAAAAAGAAGAGTATTAAACTTGAGAAGAGAAAAATTACTATTTCTGAGCAGTATATAGTGACTATGATAATTATGAATAGAAATTAACTCAGAAGAAAGTAGAGATGTGCATCTGAGCATTTTGACTTATTCAAATAATAGTGAAATAAAATTTTTTTTAAAGATTTAATGATTTTTAATACCTTGCTTACCTTATTAAAATTATATAAAAAAAAAAAAC